GTCGTTTATTCTTATTTTGTGTTCATAAACACGCCTATTAAACTATTTGCGTATTTCACGTCTCCTTTATTTCTATCCCCTTATTTTTTTCCTTTCCTTCTTTAAAGTCAATTCAACATTCTTCTCAATTACACAGAACCTGATTTATTATTATTCTATTATTACTACTCCCTGTTTTCAGATATGGTAAATATAATGCTAACGTTATTGAAACTTGTGTATTATTGAATTTGTGAAAAAACCCAAAATGGTTTCTTTACAGCACTTATGTACCCATAAGATGTTTGTGAATAATAGTAATAATAATAATGAATACTGAAACTCCATACGAAATGTGATAACCTTCTGATGTTTTCTTGATCTTTGGTGAGTCTCACATTTGCAAATGAGTTTGATTTATTTTCTGAAATATAATGATTCAGTGGCTTATAAATCTAACCAGAGAAGTTTGAATTAACAGCTCAGTATGGGTTATTATAACTTGAAGTATATATCCAACCCTAAATAAAACTAACGTCTTCACAATCAATTTCTAACATGATGGTAGAACAAAATGTTGAAAATCAGCTGAAATAGCAATAAAGAATGCAAAAACATAAAACCTTATAATGACATCGTTGCTTGCTGGGTAGTTTCTGTGGCCATGGCCACAATCCTGCTTTGATGACGATATATGCTTCATTTTCGTAACTTCACACAAAATTTGGCCAACAGTATAATTTTAGTTCATGACTCGCTGAAAATCAACGCTTTCTTAAGGCTCAACTGCAAAAACTGTTCCACAGAACATGAATAATGAATTTTCATACGGCTATTCTGATCTATATGGAAAGCTATAATCTTTTAGCCGGGAGAGAGCAAAGCTGGTTCACAGCATACTGAACACAAATTTCAGTACCATATTTCTTACCTTTTGCTATTTTTTACAACTAGCCATCTGAGTAGACATTCTAAGGAATTCAGAAGGCCGAGACCAACGTATATACGTCTGAAGTTCCATATTTTGAAATCAGAAGTGAATTAATGAAATTCTCTGTCAGAACGCGTAAGGTCAGCACCTTTTGTCGACACACAACATGCTTTGGTCTTCACAGTACTGCAAGTTTCAGGGACCAATATAGTGGACTGAACTCCTATCCTTACTACTGAAGACTGGCTACTTTTAATTGAACCATTACTGTTACGTATATCACTCATTTAACAACATCCTGTTTTCAGATGGTTGTGGACGGAATATAAGAAGCTTTCGCTTAACAGGCTTCCGTGTCTAGTAGCAGGGGATCACCAAATCCTCCAGGCAGGAACCTAGGTATGTTAACAATAAAAGAGGAAAAGAAACTGATAAATCATAGTGTGATGCTGTTCTTGTTCCTCAAGAATAGGTCAAGTTGCCTCTTGAAGGACTCCTGAGAATTTGCTTGGACTAGCTCGGCCGGCAGCGAATTCCAGCTTTTGACAACTCTTAAAGAGTAGAAGTTGTGTCTACATTCCGTCTTGCTATGTTGTGTTTCCAGTTTCTGGGTGTTACCCCTTGGGTTATTATTCGAACTAAGCTTAAGTAGGTGTTTAAGAGGATGTCCAGAAGTGTTGAGAATACTACAAGCCATTAATATTTCACCTCTAAGACGCCTATACTCTAATGGGTAAAGGTTAAGTGATTAGATGCGCTCTTCATAAGGTTTAAATTTGAGTCCTCGAACTGATTTCAGGGCTCGCCGTTGGATACGCTCCAGGTTGTCCTTATCCTTTTGAAGTGAGAGAGGAAATACTATTTTTCTGTACTCTAAACGGGGATGGATAAACTATTGAAGATTATATGGAAAGTTCTTGTGGTGTTTGAATGAACCAATGATACCTTTGTACTGTTGAATGCGCGATTTTGAATTCCAAATACAATACATCCGTTTGTGCTTGTGTCTTACTTCTTAATTCAATTGCTTTATTTCTGGTACTCTTAGTTCGTGCTATAATTCAAATAACTCAAAACATTATAGTTCTTCCGTCAAACTGGCCAAGAATGCGCTTCAATGTTATCGTCCGTTATCGTCTTGGTTGCGCATCTCTCTCCAAAGTTTTACGTCGTCGGCAAAAATTAATAAATCTGACGTTATCTGTTGAGGAAGATCATTTATATGGATCAAGAAGAGAAGAGGTCCTAGTACTTAGCCCTGGGGGAACTCACTAAGACATTCCATAGCCTGAGATAAAGTGAAATTAACTCTTACCCTAAAATGTCGATTCTTCAGGTATGAAGTGTACCAATCGATTAGAGGTAGTCTGATACCCAAACGTTTGAGCTTACTGATAAGACATGTACGGTCAACCTTATCAAAAGCTTTTGAGAAATCTAGGTAGATGATGTCAACCTTTCCCTTGCGATCGAGGACGCTTGTACATCTGTCCACCGCAGCCAGAAAGTTGGTAATACTAGAATAAACCTTCCTGAAACCATGCTGTTGGGGTGTGAAGAAATTTAAGGACAGTAAATAGTCATTTATACCATCGCATATCAGAGACTCCATGATTTTTGAGGGTATTGAGTGAAGAGCCGCCAGTTGGTAACTTGAGGTTTCGCTGCGTCGAGCTCCTTTGAAAATTGATGTGATGTGAGCCAGCTTCCGATTCCCCGGTGGTTTTCCTCGGCTTAGAAAGTGTGAGAACATCACGCTAAGCGACGTTGCCAGGATTGATGTTGCTTCCCTTAGTATGGCAGAATGAACCATATCCGGGCCAAGAGAAGTATCAGTTCTTAAGTACTGCAGTTTCCGGCACACCTGGTGAGCTCTGAGTTTCACTTCGAAAAGTCTTTGGAGTTGCAGATGAAGCTTTCGTCAGCATAGTTTATGTGAGTCGTGTGAAATGCCTGAGAGTATTGTTCAACTAGAAGGTTAGCGGCGTCGCCCTCATCGTTGGTCGGGCGGTTAAGAACAAGCTTTTCGGATTAGAGACAAATTCGTCCTTAAGCTTTGTTTGGTACTGAAACCTGTCATCTCTTATTGACTTCGTGCACATGTTCCTTATATGTTTGTATAGCCTGTACGCTCCGATGTTGCCAGTTCCTTTGTACTCTGCTCAACAGTGCCTTTTGCGGCTTAGCAGACGAAAAGTGAGACTTCTGATGATTGTGGGTTGCTGATAGCTATGAGGTACAGTTCGAAGAACTGAATAATTTGTTTTATGAAGTAATCATTGTGTTTTATGTCATAGTTAGTGTTGCAGTGCTGTCGATGGCGCAAGTTAATTCATCGTCAAAACACGCTGCTGCAAATACTGGACACTGGCCGAGGTAGTAAATTAGAGTTCCTTAATTTTCCGATTATCCTCATTTTCATACATATCTACTAGAAATCCCGTGACTGTATTGCTTTCACTGCCTCCGGTGACCAGTTATAAATTCATACAATCTAGAGTTCTTTATCTTGCCTATATTTACACTAATGTAGCTCTTTATTCATTACACATCCCCATTTTGCAACTTACACAATCTGGTTCAACACATCCTTCATCTAACTGTATACTTCCTCAAAATGAATAATACTTAATGATATTACTGCCATTTTTGAAACAACCAGTTATTGTAATTCAATCAGTGACGGTTTGAGTTCACAATCAGCAGTCAACATGCCTAATCAAAAGACTCTTTATAACAGATAATTATTTTCAATTTTAATATAACTGTGGAAATAGGGACAGGAAGGCTGCTTGATAAATGGGTTCTAATCAACTATGGGTACTGTAACTAGTTGTGATACCTTAGTGAAGGAGAACACAGATGAGAACAACCGACTATAATTAGCACAAAGTTGCTGAGTTATTTGATAAAATAGAAAAAAAAACACTCCGATATTTCGTTTGCAAAATGTTGAATAATTGTCTCGGACTTCACTGTTCCTGCGTTTCCATAACAATCGCTTACTGTTCTAATTCTTTCCTTCTCAATCTTTTCGACCTTCTGCTGCCAGATATTCTATATCTAACTAGCATCATATACTACTTATGTCGACGTATGTAGCACACACCAAAATACGACTTCTTAATTGCTTCCATTTGTGGAACAACACAAGTAAAACCCACTTGTTTTCTAATGGTCATTCGGCCCACATGTCCAAGTAAATCAATGGAATGCTCAAAGCGATTTACTAAGGCTATTATACGGACCATTTCTATGAAAATAGTTGGATTTCTCCCAGTAACATGAAACCTGGCCTTGTTTACCATTGCAATAGCATTTAATAACAGTTTCAGTAGTCACGAATCGTAAAGGCTTCATTTAAGCATCATGTCATACATATAAGCTACTTCGTTATTAACAAACATCCTGTTGAGTAGCAACCCAAAATACCAGAAGCTATGATGTAGATTTTTCTCTGAATGTGAAAGCAGAAACTGAACCGATTATTTTAATTAGGTGGAAATTTCTAGATGCATTCAGATACTGTTTGGAGAAAACGCTGTAATAGTAGAATCCGTACTCTGAAGTTGTATAAACTCCTATTGGACGTTTCTCAAATGAATAGTAGTTGAGTAGATAGCCCGGATAAAACAGATGACCAACACCTGTATGTTTGTTTTCGAAACACGTAAAGCTGATATTATTATTCAGCATTCGCACATGTCTAAGGGAAAAGAATGTATAAAATAGCAATTAAATGTCTCTAAGCTGCATCAGTTTACGTCGAGTAAACAGTTAGTGAGCGTCAATATCCATTCACAGGAAAAACCATATTCGGGAGTCGCTTAGCGTCCAGACGTAATAACCTAGTTAAAAGTTTAAAAATGCTCAAAAATGAGGTTCATCAAAATTGTCCGATGTTTGCTTGATGTTTCGCCAGACACAAAAGCGAGAGGTTTAAAAAGCTCGAAGATTGAGAGAAAAAGCACGTAACTGCCAGTGATTATGCTAAAAAGAGAATCCTTCCAGCATCACGAAAGTATGTCTTTTCAAAACATTTCAAAACACTTTATACATACTGACAAACTCTGAACTTTGCTTATTCTTCATGCTCTCTGTACATATAAAACTATTTGGCCCATTATACAAATTTTCCAAAGGTCACGGTGGCAAATTTGTTTTAGATTCTCCAGTCAAGGTCGAGTGAGTTCTTCGTTACTAGTCTTTGCTACCTAATTTCACTGTCTTTAAAAAATGAATTTAAGACATTTCCTATTTGTATGTGTCTTATCAAATCCTTTCGAAGCGGTTAGTCTATATATTCATGACTCGTACTTCAATTCCATCTCTACAGCTAGAATTATTTGTTTTATAAGGCAACTAACATATATGGAAGTATAAATATTTCCTCAAGTTTCTTGTGTATTTTAATTGAACTAAAACACGGTCTGGTTTAACCTGTTCAAAGACTAGAAACGAGATTCTTTTCGTTATGATTTTTGGTCAACGGAAAAACGGGATTTAATTAAAGCCTATATGTATATATATATTAAGTGCAGTATATACTGCATGTCATTAAGTTCATCAATTTTTTAAGCGTATCGACTTGTATGTACAATCTATCACCTTTACTAAATAGAAGTTGCAACGTCTTCCAGTCCACTTCTTATCATGTTTTATTACGATTTTCGTCTAAAGACTGACATCTCAAGTCAGCATATTCCGCGGTCCTCGTATTCTTTATCATTACCAGGTTTGTATCCGGTAATGTACGTCAGTGATGAAGTAAACGCTGAGTTTTCGTTATACGAATGCTAAGGCTTTCACCATAGATGGGGCATCAGCCACGTAATTTGCGAAGAACCCGGAATTTTTTTGCTAGATATCTTGTTAACTTCTCTTCTGACTGTTTAGAGATTCATGATGGAAGGTTGCATCCTATACTACTCAAACGAGGCCTGTTTTTTATAGGCTGCTGTGAATGGAAACATTGTACAATTAGTTTTTCATAACTTCAGGTTATCCGCTCTAAAAACCCACTCAATATCTAAGGGCTGACTTCTGTCGTTGCACTACCATTCTGAATTCCGACTTTATATATTGACTACACTCACCTCTCTTCCAATATGGACTAACGTAAAGATCTTAATTAGCATAAGCTTAAATGGCACCCGGGACTGTAGAATAACTAAATTAAATATCACTTCAAAAACTGTGGACTTTTTGAAGAAGAAGCGCACTGACTGATATTCAGTTTTAACTAGTTAAAAGCTGTCTCAAACAAAATGATCTAAGAACTAACAAGGTATTTATGTATGTTGTGACTGAGTTGATGAACTATTTATGTGATAACCCTAGGTAATAGAAACATGGATATTTACATAGTCGTTGATACTCACTATTTATCTCTCAAAATCAACTATAGTTAGAAACCCGGATCATGTGTGTCGGTTCATGTTCCCACCCTTCACATTTCCATAGCCTAGAAGTGAATTAAGGCCAAAAACAAAGGATCGGAAATCATACGATTCATAGTGATAAAGTAAATACAGGTAGTATGGGTCATGGGTAAAATATAAAGTTTAAAAAAACCTACGATGGTATAGCTTAATGTGCAAAAGAAGCAAATTTGACCGCTTTGAAGTCACGTCAGTAAGCCACAACTTAGGACCAGGCACATATATGCATCGGTCCAAGTGGTCATACCTCATTAGCACAACACGATTAACATCGGATTCACAAAAGTAGTTAATTCAGAGGTGGTAATATATAAAAGAAAGATCGCAATAAGGATATAGTACGGGAAGAAAGAATTAGTTCGTAGAAAGAAAGATATGAAGCGATTTTAATCTCTTAGTTTAAAAGAAGATAGAGAGTGTATACACCTACGATATTGTGATCGATTCTGAGCCATGTCACCTAGTCTCCAACCATTGGTTACGATAGTCACGCGGACCCCAACCAAGTAGTCTGCATCTACAAACATGACTCAAACTAGAAGCTAGTGACTTCAAGCACTGATGGCACGTTTTGGTTTGGCCGCCCCTAACTTTCTTACAACCATCCCGAACACCGGTTAGCATTGCACGTCGTGGTAACCGGTGTTCGGGTATACGTAACACGTGCCCCAACCATCTCAGTCGATGAAAATTCACAACCTCATAAACTGATTTACCATCATATCCTAATACCCTGTGTCTAACCTCACTATTACTTACCTGGTGATCCCAGCAGACGCCAGCAATATTTCCAAGGCATCTGTGGTCAAATACTAGTAGCTCACGAGTGTCTTCTACTCTTAATGGCCATGTTTCGCAGCCGTCAAGTAGAACAGAACGGACTGCCGCGCAGTATACTCGTCCTTTTATTGATAGACGGATATCTCGCTTTAGCCATAGGTGACGTAAGTTGGCAAAAGCCAAACGAGAACCGTGCAGAAAATGTCGTCAGACACCAACCCAGACTTCCAAGGTAAGTGAAGTTGTCAACGCGTCCGACTAATTTACTTGCCATCAGTCACCGTTGGAGAGGGTCGTTAGAAAATTGTCGCTCATTCTGGAGTACCTGCTTGGATTCCGACCACACCCTAATACGGGCACGCATCTGCTTGCGCCTCGCTGGACGAAAAAAGCCTCAGTAAAAAGAACAATTAGAACTGATTTGAGTAGCGAGAAAACCAAAAGTAGGTTCCAGGAACAACTGAGGTCACACTTAAATAGTTCTGAAAACGAGGCTGACCCAGATGTTGCTTGGAAAGCTATACAAACAGCCCTGGAAACAGCAGTGACATCTATTAGTGATTTAAACCACAGGGTTACAAAGAACCAATGGATTTCCTCAAGGTCTATTGCACTGATGGATTCTCGTAAACTCATCCCATCAGGCTCTGAACACGATGAAGAGCGACAACAAATCAGATCTAGGTTAAGCAAAAGTCTAAGAAATGACCGTGAGCAGTGGTGAGCAACGAAAGCAAAAGGAGTGGAAAAGCCGGCGGCTGTAGGTAACACAAGACAGCTCCACAGAATAATAAAATAAACTGGCATTAATAAGTCAAGTGTAAGTGAGACGATTTTGGAAAAGACGACACTACTATATGCTTCGAGCCCCCGAATGGCCTGGTATAGCCGTGAGTGGTATGGGTCCGCCCTCTTTCTCGAAATACTCTGACACGGCGACGCGTATACAGCCTCTGCCAGGGAAGTTCTACTCACTGCCTTCTCATGGCGGGGGTGTTGTTTACAAGAATGAGAGGACGAAAAGCGAGTGTCCGGCGATTAAATCGTCAGTCAGTCAGTCAGTAACAACGTAGAACTTCGTACGTATGTACATCAGTTCGAGTTGCCACACCACATTAGCACAGATATTCAGTTGTCGATTCAAATCCCGTAGTGGTAGAGGTAATAAGAGTATAAGCAGTAATCGGGAAGATTAGGGTTTGGAGATGTTATTCAAGGAGTATAATCCAGTGAAATAAATTTGGAAAGAGGAAAAAAGGGACATGAAGAATTCAGAAAATTAGAATTTGGGAGAACACAGAGTGGATGCACCTGCGCCATTGCAAACGATTTTGAGCCATGTCATTCAGGGTCTCTAACCATCGGTTGCTATCATCTCGCGGATCGCAACCAGGTAGTCTGCACCTACCAACATGACTCAGTCCACTTGTCAGTGACTTCATGGACTTGTGCCACGTTTTGGTTTGGCCGCCCCTAGCTTTCTTCCAACCTACTCCTATACCACTGAACATAGCACGTCGAGGCAGTCGGTCGTTGGGCATACGTAACACGTGTCCCAGCCACCTCAACTGATGAAGTTTCACTACTTCATCAATTGATTTGCCATCCTTACCTAGTACCCGATCCCTAACAACTGTGTTACTTACTAGATGGTCCCATGATATATGAGTAATGTTTCGAAGACACCTATGATCGAATACTAGTAGCCTACGAATATCCTCTACTCCTACCGGCCATGTTTCACTGCCATAAAGAAGGACGGAACGAACTGCTGCGCAGTAAACCCGTCCTTTGGTTGATAGACGGATATCTCGCCTACGCCATAAATGACGCAAGTTGGCAAAAGCTAGTCGAGCCTTCTGTATCCGTGCTGAGATTTCGTCACACACCAGACCACAAGGGCTGATGAGACTTCCAAGATAAGTGAAGCGGTCGACACACTCAACTACTTCACTCCCTATCACTAGTTCGGGTGTGAATGTAACCCAATCCTGAAGCAACATTTTGCATTTCGAGGGAGAGAATCGCATCTCGAACATGCTTGCATTGTTGCTTAGAGTGGACAGAAGACTGCATTTTGTCAGCGTCTTCACCAAATAAAACTATGTCATCTGCATATTCTAAGTCAACAAGTGAACCTCCCGGTAGAAGTTCAACCCCTGTAAATTTAGATGAGGAGAGTGTTATCTCTAAAAGTACGTCGACCACAAAGTTGAACAAGAATGGGGAGAGTGGACATCCCTGACGAACACCACTTGAGGTAATCAATTCTGATGACAGTTCGCCATAAGCTCTCACTCTACCAGTTGTGTTCGAGTAGAGAGCCATTATAAAGTTAATGTACTTAAACCGGATTCCAATTCAATGGTGCACATGGGCTCTAGTATCCCGAGGGAACAAATGGCGTATGAACCAATTGTTGGTCACCGGCTTCCATGGGACTGCATCTTCTCACGATGCTCTACTGCCTTGTGGGTTAGACCTTTAGGTCAAAGGCTCTGGGAGTGGCCCCCTAAGAAAACCACCTGGTTCGGTTTGGGCACCCGGGCAGTATCACAGCCCACACACAAATGATGAACTCTCTATGTCTATGGAGATTACTTTTCTCGCTTCGAAAAACAACCAATTAATTCAAATTATTATCATAACAATTATTGTCATTATTAATACTATTATTATTATTACTATTATTGTCATTATTATTATTATTATTATTATTATTATTATTATTATTATTATTATTATTATTTTCCACACTATTCACTCTCTTTTATGCTTATACAGCGGCTCGCCTTTGGTGGAAATTCAACTATATCTAAACGTTTTCGAGTCACTGCCTGGTTGAAAATTGTATGCTACCGCCGAATACGAATACTTAAGCAGTTTTTCTGAAACCACGTGCGCCATTCAAACTGGCTGCCTTCAACGTTCGCACACTTATGCAGGTCGGACGACAGATAGGTC